ATCATAATTTTATAACTTTAAAAGGGGTTGTGATAAATTTTAAAATTAGCACATTGGTCCCATCGGATATTTATTTAATTAGATCCTTTACACGTTTCTTATGAGATGTGTAGAAAATATTGAAACGTGTCCATAATTAACTTACAGGGAAATCTGCATTGTTTCGTCGTTTGTAAAGCTTCTTCCAGCGCATTTTACATGCATCTAATGGTATTAACCGAAGCCAAAGTAATGCTGTTTGCATGCAACACATCGTGACTATAAGTACTAACTTCCATTATTTTATAGGAAATTAAGTTATATTTTATTTATGATAAACGGCTTCTTTAAATTGGCAATATTATAATTTTTAGAGTTTGAATGTTGAAATAAGTGATTTTTAATTGTTATAATCGAATATAATAAATAATATATCTACATAGTTCACTGTATAGTTTATTTCCTGCAGTCCAATCAGTGAACTTCAAATTTATAGCTCAAACGATTCATCCCTATCCTGTAAATTTTTCTGACTACAGCTTTCAATTGATTCAATAAGTTCCAAAGTCACAATTTTATACAAACATATCTCTTTTATGACTGAATGGGCTAGATTCCTTTATTGGTAAGGGCTCAAATAAAATATTCGGACTTTTTTGTAGGGCCGGCTAGTTATATAACATAAATAATTAATCAAAGGGGACCTTGTATATTCGTCGCGTTACCCGGTTAATCCTAAATAGATTAACATGTCCCCATTAAGCTTGCAAGTATTAACTGTGAAATGGACAGGAAGTCATAACATCTCGGCCAGTAAACGGTCTGGCCGACAAACTAGGCGCCATCAGTGTACATTTTAAAAAGTAATCTTTACCATAGACAGAAAGGGCGGGAAATAAGTTAAAGGGAGAATGTGAAAGTAGTTTTTGTTGATTTGAAAACCGTTTTGATATTTTTTCTCCAGCTCTATCTCGCACGTAACTTCAAGCAGTTATTGATCTGTCAAATTGAAGCCTTAACAGTTGCTCTGCCACTCTGACAAATCATTCAGGGCTTCTTTTTGGCAGAAATGAAGTAACGTTGTTATATGTGATAAATTATTGTTTATTATTGGCATTTTTTGTTTTGGGATTAACTGCAGCTTTTGAAAAAGTAGCAGTATATCTAGTTTTTTTTTTCTGGACCTCATTTTTACCGATCAAGGCAATATTAGCGTTTTCCTTTCTTCCTATTCATATCGGCGTTACTTAAAGACTGGTTATATCATCAGCCCTTTTATGTCCCCATTGCAGGGGCTTAGGCCTTCCTTAAGAATGGTTAAGGAGGATGGGCCATGACCCTAAAAGCTGGCCCAATGCGGATTGGAGAGTGTTAACGGCTTAACGTGCCTTCCGAAGCATGGAGTAGCTAAAAGATAATAATTTTTGGTCACCCATCCCGTCACCGACAGGTCGTGGTGCTTATCCACAACGCTACCGAGCTTCTCCTGTTCTGTCCTGATTGATCTGTCAAAACTAGGCTCAGAATGAAATGTAGGCTGGCAGATCAACTGCCATAGACCAATCAGGGTTGGTCTACGATTGAATACAATCAGGGCTTCAATAACGCGGTAGAGTCGCAGGGCCTATTTACCTGCAGTGTGGTATATCTACGAGGCACTCGGCCACGGGACGTCATTTTTCTGATCAGAAATTTATTTTTGTCATCAGTTTAATAAACTAGCATTTTTTAACCATCAAAATATTAAAATAGCTGTAGGTAAAAATTTGAACGATTTGGGTAGTAATTTATTATTGGTCAGTTTTTGCCACGCGGTGATTTCGTTCCTGAGCGAATTCTGAAAGAAATAAACAATTTGAAACATCCGTATATCGATACTGTGGATTCACGATAGTTTCCTATCGAGTGAGTGGTATTTGTTACTCGATAAACTTATATTTAAGAGATTTTTTGTAGTTAAATGGGATGAAAAATACATTTTCAGTCTGGGAGTCTCTAAAACGGAAGAAGATAAAAACTATTTTACTAGTTATTACTGGTTATTTACCAAGTTCGCACAAAGGGTATGTAGTCATTATCTACAAAAACATAAAAAATCACGTTTTGGTATAGGAGGTTGATGCATAGAAGAAAATATTTACTTTATACAGTTTTGAGTTGTTGAAGCTCACTACCAACAGAAGTCATCTAGTTATGGTAATACCTATATTAAATTATATAAAAAGGGGAATTTACATTTACGCAAATAATTTAGCTCATCTATGATATACCTACTATATTTTTGATTTCTATAGTAACATTGTTTTCCTGTTAAACAATTCCCTACGAGTGGCCGCATTCCAATGAATCATTTGTTTAATGACGCACCGGCAACAAACGCACAAGAACTTCTAAAATTTAAAAAGGTCCATTTCAAAGCTCGTGGCGTGGTAAATAAGGATGTTGGAGAATTCAGCAAGCTGATAAAATAATTTTATATTTTTGGAAGTAGGTAGGTACACACAAAAAATGTCATTAATTTTCAAACTAAAAAAGTTCAGTGTTCTGCTTGCTCCATATATTTAAAAAATATATAGTTCACTTACACTTAAAACTAGATAAATATAATATATATGAATATATATATCCACTTACCCTCAAATTAGAAGATGCTAACTCAAAACAACTTTTAAAAAATCCAAGTTCAATATTTCAAACACAAAACAATGTCTATTACATAAAATGTACGTGTGCACAAATTTCTCTTCTCAATAACATTGAATCACATTGTTTTGAATAAAAATTTTATCGCACTTGCGCGGGAACGTCAGCTCTTTCGTAAAGCATTGTTGGCGATTGTGCGCTACTAACGCGCATTCCACACGACTCCACTTCACCGATTACGCTCGGAGAATACAAAACATAGTTTACAAAACGCAGCGCGTTTGATCATTTTCAACAACGCATTGAAAAGAATATAGTGACATCTAGCGTGGAGTAGACAAATGAAAAGTTTGCTTAGCAATAATTACATGTATTTCTGTGAGTTTAGTACTAGGCACTATATTTGATTTTGCGTTAAAAATTCAAAGACATGGCGAAATATTTCTATATTATTTTATTTTTCGATACCATAGAGTAAGTAACCAAAGGTTTATTACTGTTTATCATACTTTTAACTAGATTCCTAGGATTTTATGCTCCTAGCTTTCTGTCAGCAGCTTTCATGGCTCCCGCGTGGGCCTTTATATGTTAATCTTCCTCTCGAATCGCTCAGTATATTGATGTAAACTACATTGTAAAATCCATTGTGTAGTTTAAAAGACCTCAGCGTAGAGACAGCGTGAAGCGACTTTGTTTTAGATTAGTTTTTAATTACAAGTTTCTATTGTAGTTATTTATTTAATTCAATTAGGTAGTTCCTTAACTATATTGTTTATATTGTATCTTTTATACAATTTTATTCATATTGTATCTATTAGATTTCAATGCATTTTTTGTAGATAATGTTAGGGAACCAATGGATTTTATTGTGCATGAGACTGATTATAGGTGGGTTGATTTTCTAAATTAAATTATTTATTTTTTAGACATCATCAAAGTTTGAGACAAGCTTTTACAAAACATTTAGGGATTGTTATGGGTGCCAGGCTTGCTTTCAAATTTGTCGTAAAGGTGGCTGACAGAACGGGCGACATGAAGAACCCATTTGTCAGGGGTGTAACTACGGCCGTACCTTTCGTATAGATTTTTTAAACGTGGCAAAAAACTTCGTATGGTGCCAATCAAACTCTTGATTTCTCCATGACAACTCTTCCGGTTTTCTTTTATGTTTAAATGTAAATTATTTTCAAAACTCAATAAACGACTCATATTCTATTTGTACTTTTTCGTATTTGTATTGATATCTTAGTTTCGAACTATTGAAATTTCAATTTTTGAATATGTTAGTTAAAAGAAACGGAAATGACTGTCTTTGGTCCATTCGTTTCCTGCAAAAAACAACTTTTGCTAGAGTTGCCATCTAGTCGAGTTGATTTTTAAATGCTTTCGTTTTTTTTAAATACTTCCTCATTACTCTTCTTCATTATTACGCCAAAAAAAAATACAAAACAAACTCTACAAGTCGTACAAGCTACATATTCTGTGCAAAGTTTGTGCACATATTTTTAAATGTCTGTGCCACACATGAAGTTTTTCATATTTCTATTTCCGTATTTGATCACATGTCTGGCACGGCTTAAGCTTTTTTGTAACAGTTATTTTATTTATTGTTACGTTCTCAGTGTTGCCAAATGTACGGCAATTACCGTTTCATACGGCAATCAAGCTCATAACACACTTCAGGGGAAATAATCTATATAATTATAAATTGAATATTATCGAGGCGAAAAGATAGCCCGTGAAACTATTTTTTGTTGATTTTACACATTTTTACTCGCACTGTCAACATCACATTCACAGTGTAAAAGAGACGTATATTAAATTAAAGTATTTTAAGAATACATTTGACTTATTAAGCTGTATACCGTGATCTGCTACCAGTTCTAAATTTCTGAGAAGAATATATACTGTATGAAATAACTGTTATCTTTTGGTTTTGCAAAGCGTGATCTGGATTGAGATTTTATTTGACTAATATCTGGATCCAAAACCGGTGGCTTATTCCAACCTTCATCTCTATTACAATTCAGATGTTTTATAATTTTTATCGCCTCGCGTAATTTTTTAGGGAAAAATATTTGTTCACCTGCAAGTATTTTTGGATTGTCAAATCTTATATAATGTTTGGGCCTCTTATAATTGTAATTTAATTTGTAAGAAATACGTGGGCAGACATATACAAAATAAAATTAGGATTGAAATTTTTTATAACTTCGCAATCGTGTTTAGATCTTATGTACTATGTTTATATGAGTATTTTTTAACTTTTTTACTTTAACAAAATAACAAACATAATTACATACAGGTCATATTTATAACCTCTTTTTGAAGTCGATAAGAAAAAATTAACGTCAATATCAGTAGAATAGCGGCAATTTTTTCTCTAGTATACGGCAAATCGATATATGACGAGCAGCAACACTGGTTCTTTTCTCTATCAAAGCCATTCATTCTATTTAGTTTAGATTTTACTTTCATTCATTCATTCCGTCTTTCTGATAAAATGGCTGCCGTGCAAGAGGTGTGTGTCGACCAAATATTATTTTATTTATTATAATATTTAAATGAAATGCGGATTTAAGTTCTTATTTACACTATTCTAATATATTTTTGTGATTACAGGCGAGACGAGAACCTATCCAGGCTGTCCAAGTTTTCGGACGCAAGGTAAGAAGCGGTTCATCCACGTGTTTCTTGTGTGTGATCTTACAGTGAACAAAAAAAGCTTCAATTTGTTCACTGTAAAAATAGTGATTAGATTAATATAGTTAAAACTAAATCATGTTCGGCAAACGTAAGTAATAAAAATGTATCCTTTCCTGCCTTGTATATTGTAACCTCTCAGGTTCAATATATTACGAAAAGGAAAGGAGATAATGGTTTTCATTTTACCAGCCGTTACGAAGAGTCTTTATTTGTAGCGGTCTAAATGGGAACGACAAATTTTTTTAAAGTTCACTTATCTAAATCTTTTCAAAAAATCTTAGGTTATGTTTTTACAAAAAAACATTTGAGTAATGTTTTTTTGTAAAAACATAACCTAAGATTTTTTGATTCGAGTTTGTGTCTTAGTTTTAATTTAAGCTTTACGTTTCATTATAGAAAACCGCAACTGCAGTAGCATACTGCAAACGCGGCCATGGAGTGCTCCGGGTGAACGGTCGCCCCCTTGAGCTGGTGGAACCTCGCCTTCTTCAATACAAACTTCAGGAGCCAATCCTACTCCTGGGAAAGGTGAGAAGGTTCTATTATTAAGCCGAATTTACGAAAGTAGTTGCATGAATGTGAAAACAAGTATGTATCATGAGACTAATTTCGGCACATGTGTATCTTTTGTTATGGGTGTGCGTTTGTCAGTAGGTTTGCGACCCTGACTCGTCATTATCGTAAGCTATATTATGCGCAGATAGTGTCTCGACACTAGTTTCACCATGCACACAGGTTAAAAACATTCATAAATAATATGCACATTGCGCGAAACTACTTTAGTGCCGTGAAAATAATGCATGCATTGCGAAAGTGGACCTTTACACATGCAACTGCTAGCGAAATTAATGCTATGAAAGTAGTTTCATGCAAATACTTTGTAATGTAAATCAGGCTTTAATTGCATGCCATAAATACTTGTCCTGATTGTGTTTTTAACTACACTAATATTTTAAGGGCCCCATATACGGTACGATTTGTCTGTACGATCCGTCGCTTCAGACCGATCGAAACGACGAATCGATAGTGTATATCAAGATCGTTAACGATTTACTTCATCGTAGACGATATCGGAAATCGCAACAAAAACCCATGCAATCATGAATATCGTAACGATGAATCGACAGTGTGTGGCTCTTTACGATCAACGATTCGATTTTGTCTCACTCTGACGCCGGTCGCCGCACGCACCGCACGCCTTGGCTAACGCGTTACGTACTCTCACCTACCTATACTCGATGAACGAATCAAACAAAATGGCTACATGGAGTAATGATGATTTGATTGAATTTATTGAATTATTAGAGAGCAAGAGCCTTTATGGAAAACAAAACAAAGATTATCATAACAATGTAAAGATACGTGGGTTCCGTCATTCTCATATAATTATGCCAATCTTCTGGATGGAACCTTAATTCCTTTAAAATATTTATATGTGAATACTGGTTTCGCTTTAATAGCTATTTCTTAACCCACATTTTTCTAGGCTTCCTTTTTTTCTTATGTAGCCGAATTAAAGTTATTGCCACATAGGTAAGGAAAAGAAGTTCATTTTCCATTTTATGGGGCACATATTGAATTATTTGAACACGTGTTTATACTTCAGTTTCAAACAAATAAATGATCGATCGTTACGACCAATCGTTTCGTGTATGAGCGTCATTTTTTATGCGATCAATCGTCACGATTTTCATCAGATCGGTCGTACAGACGAATCGTACCGTATATGGGGCCCTTTAAACCATGTATGACCATAACCACTAAAAGTGGTTCCTAATAAGCTGCTTCAATCGAAAACGCAAAAATTTAAGTTTCACTAAAGTTCATTCATTCACTTTTAATTAAAACAAAAATATAACTCACTTAAAAAAATGAAACATCAAATTTTCTAACCTCTGATGTTTTCCTGCAATATTGTGACATTTCTAGCCAAAGCAAAAAGGTAATTATTAATCGGGATAATGAACTCTTAGTTAGAAGTAATCCAGCTTTTAATTAACTCAAGCTAAGCCCAACTTGAGTTGACACTTCTTTTATGAGTATGAACTTTGTGATAGTAAATCAGTGCAAGTTGTGATTTTGTTTCAGTATGCACAAAAGATCACCATCACACACAATTCTAAGATTCATAAGCAGCCATAATAATTTTTGATTTTAAAGCATATATAAAGAATATGTCTTACCGTTGCTCTCGATACCATAGATAAAGAATATGTCTTACCGTTGCTCTCGATACCATAGATAAAGAATATGTCTTACCGTTGCTCTCGATACCATAGATAAAGAATATGTCTTACCGTTGCTCTCGATACCATAGATAAAGAATATGTCTTACCGTTGCTCTCAATACCATAGATAATAGTAATTCTATTTATTTTTTGTCCTCCATTTATTGCCTGGTAGAGATTGTTGCATAGCAATAAGGCCGCCTCTGTATGCTATTTTATTTGCGATTTACTGTTGTTTGTTTTTTGTTGTGTGCAATATAAAGTGTATTATTGTTATTACTTTGTATAAACAACAGCATCAGCAACATCAAGTCACACAAGTCTGTGAAATTGCAAAGGTTTGACAGGCTATGGTAACTTGATGTGCTGCTGTGTGTATGTAATTTTGTATATCTGTGTGGTTATGATTGTTGTTGAAATCATTATTTGTATAACCATTTAACCAATTCTAATAAATTCTCTTATTTATGCTTCTTTTATCTTTAAGGGTTTAGTTTTTTGATTAGCAAATTAATATGCACATAACCAATAGATTTTTTTTGTTTTTATTTACTTTTGTCTTACAATAGTTAACACTTTTTTATGTTTATTCCATATTCATAATATGCTCTTAATCATTATAATTTTTGCATGTATTATAATCTTATTATCAAGCGATTTATTTTACAATTTTATTATAAACTTCATAAATCATAAAAACTACTAATAATTTGATTTACCCATTTTGTAGTTAGCAATTAATAAATTAAATTTAAATGATGAGTAACTCTTATTCCGAACCTGAGCATCTTTGGATGTGAAGTAAACAATGTACTGATGTTAAAGCTTTTTTAATTCTTTATAAAATTAAACTGTGATAGTAGAAGTTGCTAATAATTTGTTTATTTTTTTTTAGGACAAGTTTTCGGGTGTCGACATCAGAGTCACAGTTAAGGGTGGTGGTCATGTTGCACAGGTTTATGCTATCAGACAGGCTATCTCCAAGGCACTTATTGCATTCTACCAGAAATGTAAGTTTAAATTCTACTATGAGATTAATTATTATTGGTATTCATTTTAGTAGCTTAATTTGTGGCAGACTTGTTTATTTAATGATTAATATACCTTTCCTTCCAAAACTGTTTTGCACCATGCGATTCAGTCATTTCAGGGAAAGGAGATTATATGTGACATTTACCAAACGGCATTTGTTCTCAATGCTATGCTTGTTTGAAGTGTACACAACAGTTCTTTACATTAGTTAAAAATATCTTTGACTTTTGTGTTTTAAATTGATTATTTTTTATTCAAGGAAAGTGCTAATAAATTTTATTGCATATAGATAACAACAGCCCCAGGTATCCTGATATGGAATGGATATATAATAATCAATTTGTATAAGTTAAAAAAATAAGTTCTACCGTTTGGTTTAATTGCATCTGACATTTTTTTATTGTTTATCATTCCTATAAATCAGTTATTTATAAATAAGTTATACTAATTTCATTTCATTTATTTCAGATGTAGATGAAGCTTCAAAGAAGGAAATCAAAGATACTCTCGTCCAATACGACAGGAGTTTGTTGGTAGCCGACCCGCGTCGCTGCGAACCCAAGAAATTCGGTGGTCCAGGCGCCCGCGCTCGATACCAGAAGTCGTATCGTTAATATTTCGCTTTTAACGCCGATTGGTATCGTGCAGATGACATTTATGTGTACGATATCAATTGGTGTTTTCAAATAAAAAATATAAAAAAAATACTTAGTTTTATTTATATTTCTTAATAGATATAATGTGGATCTCTTCGATTTTGAAATTAATTATTGATTCATAGTCCTTTATCAGTCTGTTACGAAGACAAATAGCTAAGTATCTAGTTTACGAGATTATTATTCATATCATTTTCTTTAACTTCACAATAGGTTTTTCTAGTAATTAAGGGAATTACAATTTGTTATTATAGTTATACTAAAAATGATTTTCATCAAAATTATAATAATTAAATTATTCAGTTAAATCTTTTCTGTTTTAAGGTTTTATCGTCAGAAACGCACTGCAAAGCTTTATTGATAACAGAGTGACAATGTAATGTAATGTATTCGATGAGTTCGGATATTGAAGGTCCGTCTGGGTTAGTTTGATTCGATTCGATACCAAGTATATCGAAAGATTGATTCAATTCTCAAAGTACTTTGTATCGAATCAAAAGTATCGAGTACTTACTCGTATTTACTAGTATTGAATATCTCTAGGCAGGCTTTACACGTTTGGCTTTGATCTTCTATTAATGGCTTATCTGCGCATTTCGCACAATTCTGCCAATGTGAAGTGAATAAATTAATATCTTCATGTAAAATGAAAATGGAATGAATGAAAAATGACTGATCCATATTACGATTAAGTAGTATTATAATTCGTCCATGGGACAGGCGAAGGAACTAAGCCATACAGCCAAATCTTGGGTATATATTACGATTAAGTTAGATCACGTTGTCTTTTTTTTTTTTATTTATTAGTGTTTACGGCTCTGGATACTAGTCCTTTTAAGCTTTACATAGTTTTTTGACAGAATACAAGACAAAATTCGTTCATTGTTCTTTCTTCTCACTCAGATATTTTTGACAGTGTTGACAACAAACTTGAATAACGGTTTAAAGTATTTGTAGTCTTTTAATAATTCTTCCAGCGTTGATGGTATGTTCTTGGTGATTGCTTCAAGTTCGCTAACAAGTACCAAGCGATGTAGTCCAAACCGTTTACATTTGAATATGATATGTTGCAGATCTTCATTTTCTTTACAATCAGGGCATTTTGGATCATCTGCCATCTTCAATCTATGCAGGTGAGTGCGAAACTGACCATGACCAAATCTCAATCTGTTTATAGTAGTTATGAACTTTCTACTCTGTATTGATTTATTGTACCACCAAGGTTGGGCGGGCAGGCTTCCTTGGACCTTTTTGTACCATTGACCTTTCTCTTTGCTAATTAACTCCCATTGGTTTTTCCAGAGCATCGCCAAGTTTTGATTAACAACAGCCTTAAAGTCAGTAAAAGGAATCTTCATTGATTGTGAATGGTCTTCATTGGGTGTGGATCGTGCTATTTCATCAGCCTTTACGTTTCCTGTAATGCCACTATGCGAAGGTACCCACATAAAATGTATAGTTTTATCTGAATCATTTAGGTTACTTAAGACTTGTTTGATATAAAACACTAAATAATTAACATCATATTTACAACTATTTCTAAATGAATTTAATACACTTTGTGAATCAGAAAGAATTAAAAACTTGTTAACATTTTGTAGTGCTGAGATATATATTAAAGCCTGATAGATAGCATAACATTCAGCTGTATATATACTACAATTACTTGGGATTAATATACATTTGCTTAAATTTAGCTGGACATCATAATAAGCAGATGTCACTCTATTATCAGTCTTAGAACCATCTGTGTATACTCTATAATAAGATTGGTTTTCTAGAAATTGCATTAAATCTTTGTTATTTTGTATTGGTTCAGAATGTAATATGAAATTACAATTTATCAATGCATTATATGAAATATTGTACAGAGGCCAAGTATTATCTATATACAGATTTGAATAAAATTTATGTACATATAGCACAATTGCTACCATTTCTGGAGTGTATCCAGTATTAAGTGAAGCATTATTGATATAAGAACCTCTTTGCATATTCTGTAAAGTTTCTAAAGGTAATAGTCTGCCTGTAATAAATGAGCTTTTATAAGAAATAGTTCTTAAGCAAAATCTTTCTGCCAACTGTAAACGCCTTAATATGAGTGGTGGGATACAGCTTTCTGATTGCATCACATGAATAGGAGTAGAACACATTGCCCCAGTTATTATTCTCAAAGCTCTATTTTGAAGAACATCCAATTTACGTAATAAACTTGAATTAGCATTCATGTATGCTAGACAACTGTAGTCAAAGTGACTTCTTACCACGCTTTTATAAAGCATTGACAAAATTTTCGGATCTGAAACCCAATGTATACCAGCCAGAGATCTAAGTACATTTAAACCTTGTGTGGCACTTTTGATTATCTTATCAAAATGTTTCTGAAAGCTCAACTTAGGATCTAAACATACACCCAAGAATTTGTGGTCTTGAACCCATGGTAAACAACTATTATTGTACATAACATCATTATTAAGTGTACTATAAGGTATCTTACTAAAAATCATAGCAGAACTTTTTGAGGCACTTATTTCTAATTTTAATATATTTTTGTAATAGTGGTGTATTTCTGTTAATGCTCTATTTATTTTATTGATAGCAATATTTACATTATTATTTACAGTATATATAACTAGGTCATCAGCAAATTGTAGAAAATATACATTATTTTCCTTTAAATGTTGTTTAATTTGACATGTATAAATATTATACAATATAGGAGAGATTGTTGCTCTTTGCATAGTACCTTTGTAGACATTTCTTGGACCATGTAATATATTGTTATACTTTATATACATATGTCTGTTAAATAAAAAATCAAACACCCATTTACAGAGTTTACCTGGAACACCAATATCATGAAGGACTTGGGACATGATGGAAGGATTCACATTATCGAATGCACCTTTAACATCAAGAAATGCACAAACTGTCACGGAATGTTGAAGAAATGATGTTTTTATATCAGATATCAATGAAATAAAGCTCTCTGCAGCACTGCGACCTTTGCGAAACCCAAATTGTTCTATAGGTAATATTCTATTACTTTCAATGTAATAATCTAATCTTATTTTGATAATGTTTTCAAATATCTTACCTATACAAGAGGACAAAGAAATAGGTCTATATGAATTGCTTTCTTGTACTGGCTTATCTGGTTTAAGGATTGGACTGTTCTAGACTGTAAGGATGTTTGGAATTCTTCCCATGTGAATGGTTTTATAAGAAATTGAGCATTTAAACTTCCATTGCTATAAAAAAAATATTTTAACTTATCCAAATCTATATCTTTTTCAGATGGAATTGAAGGTGCATATTTATCAAAAAAGGATGGGACCCAGTCATCATTTTTAGGTCGTTTGGAAGATGAAATTCTTTTGAATCGCCTCATGTAATTCCATATTATGCTTACTGGAGTGTATCTATTAAAGGACTCACATAATTTTAACCAACTGTTTTTTTTCTTTTCACAGAGTAGTCGCTTTTTGTGAGCGTCACTTTTTTTGTATTCTATGTAATTATCAATAGTTGGATGAGATCTATAGAAATTTAATGCTAGTTTGCTTTTTTTGACAACTTCTTTACACTCATCGTCCCACCACGGAACTGGTTTCTTTTTAATGAATGTAGTATTCTTTTTTAATTTAGGTATATATTTTTCTTTGAGAATATTCAATATCTTACAAAAATTATTATATGTATTCAGAGAATTATTATTTTCAATTGTAATATCATCAAATGCTGATTCACTGTCAATATAAAAGTTTTTCCAATCGGCTCTGTTGTATAGAAACCGTTCAAAAGGTTCGCCTATTTCATATTTTTCAATTGAGACGTGAATATCTATGATGGTGGGATAATGATAACTGCCCATTGAGTCAGAATATACACTCCAGTTACACAATGGAGCCACAGAAGGACTAACACATGATATGTCTATTGCTGAAGGACTTTGACCAACACGTCCTACAGTGGTTGTAGAGCCCGAATTTAGGATGCATAAATCGCATTCGTCAAACATGTTGTAAATATTGTTACCTCTGTTGTTAGTTGAGTGACAGCCAAATGCTATGTGGTGTGCATTAAAATCTCCTGAGACTAATATAGGTTTAGGTAAATCATTAATAATCTTTTTTAAATTGTTGCTCTGAAAGTTTAAACGCCCTTGCTTCAGAGGAGGACAATAAATGCACAATATAGAGAGATTACCTATATCAGTAAGTATGGTAATACCTACTGCTTGTGATTCTTCATAGAAAGGAATTGAATGGACAGAATATTTGAAATAATTTTTGATCAAGATCGAGACTCCACCTCGACCACCAATACCAATTTGATTAATTATGTCATAGCTAGAAATATGTATATTATTATTTTCTTTTAACCAGGTTTCATTTAATAAGCAAATATCTATGTGATTCTCTTGAAGATAATTGATGAGGAGTGGTTTTTTGTTAATAACACCTTCTATGTTAAACTGGGATATTCTTAGAAAACTTTTATCCATTATTTAGGTTTTAGAGTTTTAATAAGTATCTCCTGTATTATGTTACTAGTTATGGCTCTATCTTCATTTCCTATTGCAACCAGTGCGCCAACTATGGCCTTGCGGATAAAGTCGTTATTGATTATTTCATCAATTAACTTTTCATTTGAAAGTTTCACCACTTCTGTGGTTTGTGTAGGATTTAGGATGGTAGAAGGGGTAGTGGTGGAGCCTTGTATTTTATTTGGTGTTAAGGGCTTTTTAGGGGTAGACAATTGCGGGAAGTTAGTTTGATAATTATTCATAGTCATATTACCATTGTATCGTTCTCTTTTGGATAATAAAGCGTTTGCATAACTTACTTTGTTTTTCTTTTCGTCAATTTTTTGTTTTTTAATAGGACAGTCACGTGAAATAGAGAGATGTGAACCTTGACAGTTTGAACATTTAATGACTTTATCATTTGGACATTGTGTGTAATGGTGCTCCTCGGAACAAACGGAGCATTTTTGTACCGATTTGCATACTTTCGCCCCATGGTTGAATTTAAAGCACTTATAACACTGTAATAAAGGTGCATTATATTCATGGACTCTG